TGTATCGCATTGTATTGTCTGTGGTGTATATATATACATATAATAATAATAAATAGTTTATTTGCTATAACTCATTCCAAGTTTACATTTCGGGAAACTATCCCCATCTTCAGAACTTTATTCACATCTTCACATAAGCAGACAATAGCTGAAACCTCATGTGTTCTTTGTCATAATTTAAATTTTGTATTATATATAAAAGTAATATCTGGGCCATCACATTTACTGGACTAATAATTGGCTGGAATAATGCAGACACCTAGTTGTTAGTAAATTAAACAACCTTCTAAAAAAAAAAATGTACTTACATTTGTCAATTTTTTTTTTTTTGTAAAGGAGCGCATTATTTATGGTTGCGGCATATTTTATGAGCAAAACTGAGATACAACTAAATTAGTTTTTTGTTGTTTGTTTTTGCTTTTAGATACCCAGAAAATTATATATTCAAATTGATGTTGTAAGTTTAAGATTGATTTACTGATGGACTGCACTGACGAATTTATAAAAATTCTGAAATCTTACGTTCGATCCCGATAAGTGTAAGGGGAACAGTGATTAAAGTGAAGGGTAGACTAACCTAACCTAGAATAATCTAAAGAAGGATAGTTCACCTAGATCTCACAAGAAATGGACATTTTTATTTAAAATAAATAATTTTCCCTCTCCCTAATTTATGTATTTATAAATCTTCTTCAGATATTTTATTAAATTATCAAATAGCAATAATATATTTTAAAAATGGAAAATTTACACATTTCCTAATAAGAAAATCCTACGCGGAACGCTTCTCACAAGTTTCATCTACCACCCATATTTTCATAAATAAGTATTTTCAAACAAACCGAAGGAAAGTAGAAATTATAGTATTTACAATATGTTATTGATAAGAATTAATTATATGTTTTTCAAAGTCGTCTAATGTATTATATTTATGATTCTGTCCCCATTTTCTTTTACTACTCTATATTTCAATTAGTTAAATTTAATTAATTTAATTTTAATAAATTGTTAATTGCCACAAAATATTTTTAGCCCGAAAAGAGTGCCACTGACACAGAAGAAATTCCATTGTGGGTATTTTTATTTATTTAATCATTTGTATATCTGAAAATTTTAATGTGTATTGGCGTTGAAAACTTGGAATAGAAAATTTTCACGATTGCAATACTTTCTATATATTTCATTTATGTATAAGTGAAAGTAAAAATTAATCTTCAAATATTGTGTATGAGTTTTTTTAGTTATTTTCTATTTATCCCTACATATTTATTATTTCAGCAATATTTTCCTTTTGTGTTTTTATATAGTTGAGATGTTAATTGCCTTACTCCTGTCAAAATGATTTTCGGGTATTAGAACGATATCATGATTCTTGGAAATTTATGGCTCATTTCTGATTAACGTTGGATTACGAGGTCTTGGTTTGAAGATAAATCCTACAATAAACCACTAGTGCCACACGACATCAAGAAATATAGTAGTTGCGTATTGTTATTCTTCTGATGCTTCATCAATGTAGTCAGTAGCTCTTCGTGATTTAAGTATTGTGATAACCGAATTTAAGGCCTAGTATTATTGTTTGTTTATTTTTTTTTTTTTGCTAATATGAAAACTTTTCTTGACCGCGTTATTTTTTTTGAAAATCAATATTGTTAAAGATTATAATGGAAATTAAAAAAAATAAAAGATGTAGAGCTCTCTCAAGCGAAATCTTTCGTTGGGTAGTAACGTTGACTAAGGCACACTTTGTCAAATGCAATCGAGAGACAGGAGAGGGCTTTCATTTGGGCAGGACTATTTGCAGACAAAAAACTAGCCGTGAGAGGGCTTTGAGTAGATCCTATTAACCAGGACCTGAGAGGTGAATAGGTGGCGCCCATTGTGTGTGAGTGGTGAGTGGGGCGCCGAGCACCGACTCCTAAACAGCGCCCTTTATATCTTTCCAGAATCCGTTTTCCTCGTCCGTCAACGCCTCTCCTTCCATTTTATTCCTGGCCACTTACATATTTTACGGCGAGAATTCCCAATGTGAACGCAACCTGAAAGGAGTTCCAGTTCCGCCACGTACAGCAGGTTTCCTCAAGTACGAGCTTATTCTTTTAATAAAGTTCCATAATGGTTGTAATCGGCTGGAATTTAAATTTTGTGAATTTTTATATATGATATTTATAGCAAGTGAAATGATTTTTTTTTTAATCAGTAGAATAGTATTAGAGTTTTTACTGTGTAGAACGCCTAAAATCGTCTGGCATGACCGTAAAAAAAAATAAATCGTATTTTAATGTTTTTGTTCTTTAGTTGGGAAGTTTTAGCTAATTAATTATATTATTATTACAATGGGGCTACGGTCCTGCAAGAACCCAGGCCTCCTCTATTACAGCAAACCTATCTCCACGGACTTGTGCTACTTCCCTCCATCTTCTAACGCCCAACCACCTCAGATCGTCCTCAACATCCTCCAGCCATCTGATCCGAGGGCGCTCTCTACTTCTTTTGCCATCCGGTTTCTCATGCTGCATCTTGTTTGGCATTCTTTGGTCTGGCACTCTTTCCACATAACCTAACCATCTGTTTCTGACTCATTTTATGAATGCTACATTATCAGGTTCACCATAGAATTCCCGCATCTCCTCATTCTTTCTTCTTCTCCAAATCCCATTCTCAATGATTCCGCCCAATATCCTTCTCAATACTTTCCTCTCCCAGGAGTTGAGCGTGCATTCTGAGTTTTTAGTAAGATACATAATAACTGGTCTTACTATGGTTTTGTATATGAGAATTTTGATTCTTTTAAAGAGTGATCTGAACTTCAATCCTCTTTGCAGTGAGAAATAGCATATATTTCCTGCTGCAATCCTGGCTTCTATTTCATTCTCTACTTTATTATTGCAGATGACCAGGCTTCCAAGGTACATGTACTGGTCAACAGACCTAAACTTGTGATCCCTTAATGCTTTTTCTGTATTCATTTCCTTTTTCCTTTTTGTGTTTTTCAAATACACCGTCTTATTTTCGTTAACTCTAAGGCCCAGTTTAGATGCTGTTTCTTCGAATTCCTGGAAAGTTCCTGATAATGCTGCTTGGGTTTTAGAGATAATGGCAACATCATCGGCTTATGCCAGATGTTGGGACTTATAATTAATTATAAGCTTTGCAAAATGCAAAGATAAATTTAAGTACTCGATAAAGCAAACCAATTGTTATTTAAGAAATGTGTTGGCTCAGATATTAGTTTTTAAATTAATTGTGAAATATAATACTGACAAAGGAGCACACCAAATGGAAAGTGAATTGTAACAGGATGCGACAAATAGCTCTGAGGATGGAAAAATAATCCCAAAACGTAAATGTGATTAATAAGTGAAAAATACAATAATTACCTATAGCAAAGGAAGTTTTATTTGCCAATCTCATAATTAAAATCTTATATCATTGTATTAACAATTAAATACGAATAAGTAACTTTAGGTATATTGTTGTTGGCGCGTATTATTCCTTTGTTTAATATACATTCCTGTTAAATCGCGTTTATGGTGAGGGAGAGTTTTAAAAATCGTTTTTATGGCTCGCTTATATTGTTCGTTGCGGCTTAAGATAAATTAAGTATTACTTGATATCTATGATATGGTCCGAAGTTTCGGAAAACATTTTTTTTTCTATATAATTTCTTATACCTATGTTTTTAGAACTTTAAATTGATGATATATTTCGCGAATACTAGGTTTTTTTGGAGTACTTAACTTAAATTGAAGTGGGTTGCCATTTTGTCAATCAATTATGTATGAGAACTAAAAGCGAAAATTAATCTATGTTCCCGAGTATCGAGCCTAATTCCCAGTGTACATGTAATTTCACTTTGCGAAATACAATTATAGTATGGGATTTCATTGGTTTCCTGCTTCTCGTTACGGAGAAACATATCAATCATAATAATTGGATAAATGTCAAAGATTTTATGTAGAAGATCTCAATACCATATAATTATTTAAAATTTGATGAGATTTATAAAATTTTATGTTACGAAATACCTCCCCCTAATAATTGACCAGAACAACGCAGACTTCCGAATTTAGACCTTTTTTAATAAGATTTAAAAGATACAATATTTGATCAATTCTTTATAACTTCGTTTTATCAATTTTGGATTTTAAGAACCCAATTTACATATATGACTTTAAATGCATTTCATTGTTATTGTGTGAAGAGTTTTTAGTATGCCTTCACATTTATGAAAAATAAATCTGAATGTATTTCCATTTATCAACACTAGTTTTCTTATTAATTAAAATATTAAATTTCAATATCGTAGTCATGTCATTCATTTGTAGACATGCAAATTCAATAATTCGCATAACTTGAACATGAAAAATTGTCAAGGAAGAAGAACATCTATCAACTAAATTTTATAAGAATATTAATTCCTCCTTAATAGTAATGATTGAGTTTGCTTTAAGTTTATAAGTGAAAGTGAGAAGTACCTTTTATTTTATGTAGCTCTATCGCCTCATAGTAAGATCATCTTGTTTTAAATAGATTTATAAAATAAAGGTTACTAAAGCCCACCTTACACGAACAATATTATTGAGTTAATATCGAATATATTGACCGTATGAGAGATATATTCTAACAATTATATTCACTTATGTTCGATGTATACAACCTTCAAGAATATTGTTTCAATATTATTGACTCAATAATATTGACCGTGTAAGGTGGGATTAAAAGCAGTTTAAATCCATGTGGAGTACTGTTATTATTATATTATTAATAATAACTACAATTAGTATCATATTTATCATACAATATAATATAATATACTACTAACTAAATTAATAAAACTACAATAAATAACCAAAAAACGTTATGAGAATTTATTAAACCAGGAAACAGGAAATACATTCTTAACCAGGGAAAAGGCGAGGAAATGAGAAGATATCCCAAAGTGAAGGAAGAAGAGAGTGACGGATTAGATGGAATAAGAGGTACATTAGGGTGGGGGGATGGTAAGTGGTATTTTGGCGGGTAGGAAGAAGTCAGGACACGTCTTGGGGCCCGTCCTCCGGCTAATGCTCACTGGCCATCCTCTTTTCCTTCCAATGGCCACCCCAAATAAGTTTTCCAAAAGAAGAAAGAGACCTCGAATTCGCTGGATAATTAGGGATCATTGGATCAATGCCGAAATAATCAATTACAAACCAAAATTACATGCAGTGAAATAAATAGTAAATTTTAACTAGATAATTCACTCTCATACAGACTGAATGCTGGACATGAACATGTTTTTAAAGGTTTTATAACTCCTTTATAATTGTTAACACCACTGCGAAATTACGAATTTCCCAATGGTCGAAACATGGTCTAAATGATTAAAATGATCTTTAATTCCTGCAATTAGAGTGCTACCAGAGGGTAGTTTTTCAACAAGTGTTTTCATGTGATTTTATTTCTGTGTACACATTTACTTGATGTATTTTTTCTTAATACAGTAAATATCATAAATAAATTAAAAAAATCCTGCAATAATTATAAATATTTTATGTAATACTAGAATATTTTTTTCAATATTTAACTACAAAATTTCACTGGATTTAGGAAAATATTGTGTTTCTAAACAACTTTATAATTGATTTGTTTTAAATAAGTAAACATTTCAGAAATATAATGGCTTTAATTGGAGCTTTCTTTTTTCTTTCAAAGGTATTTAAACCCAGATAAAATTCAAGAAATGTCAAATTAAGTATGTACAATGCTATGATAAAGTCAGTTCTAATACATGAATGTGATACCTGGCCTCTAACCAGCACTATAGAAAAAAGTGTTGAAAGATTTGAGAAACCGTTCCCCGCACAATAACCGGAGCGATCTGGGATCGGATTACTGACATATGGAGAAGAAAGAACAATAAAACTGGTTATAGAAATTGGTCAATCAATATCTCATGACATGAAGACACGGAAGAAGGGTGGGGCATGTAGCTCGTTGCCTCTACGTAAAAATGAGTGCCTCAATAGAAGGACAAAAAAACACGTGGAAGGCCAAAAAGCAGATGGATAGATAGAATCAACAAGTGGCAATAGAGCTGCGTACAGATAAATTGAAAGAAATATCCCAGGACAGGCAGAGATAGAGCAGGCTTGTCAAAAGTTCTACATGGTCTGTAACACTAAAAAAAAAAAAAAAGGTTGTAATCATTTAATAAAATTTTATATGGTATGGAAAGATCGTTACCTATCTATCATACGCACTCAGTAAGTGTTTGACAGTCATGAGTACATTTCACTGTGTGCAGAATGGTGTAGATGTTCCAGGAAGCAAATTTTGATGGGTAAACTGTTAGTCCGATTTGGAGTCTCGTCCGTATGACTTCTTGTTGTCAGCTATTTGGTGGCATATCATTGTGTGTGGGATGTCAAAACCGCCTGATGGCGCTGCTTTTTCCGTTTTGTTACCTTCAATTTTACCTGATATATCATTTTGACCTGGAATCAAGACAAATAAAACTTTGTAATTTATCTGATTTAGATTAACTACTCATCATTATATGCCGGCACACTTCATACATAATAAATAAATAAATTTCCACTCACTCATATTTCTATATATTATATTGAGATTTAGCCAATAAACTGCATTTTGGTGACGGATTTAGACATACCTGCTCAATATTAATGCCCTATATCAAAAGAAAAGATTTAAAGAGAATTTTTCTTAAAATAAATATTACACACAAAATTACTAACAATACATTGATAGAAATAAAATAAACTTTATTCTGGGACAAGGTCCCTTAAGAATAGTAATTATGAACGAAAAACAATAATCGTTTATAGCCAAAAACTGCAGTAATAAAAGTTTACAATATCTTTAAACATTTTTAAAATAAACATAATTTTGATGAAAAAATATAAAACAGAACTCAGGAAAAAAAAAACCTTATAAACATTATGAGTTGCTTCTTAATATCAAAACTGAAATAATATAGACAACCATTAACTTCAATTGAAAAACGATTCCTAAACTTTATTTTATGATTGTAGAGCGCACGTTTGAGAAGTGAGGAGGAAGTGGTAAAGAAGGTATTTGAATAAGGATAAGGAAGAGGCTTGACGGATATCAGATAGCAAAGAATTCAAGAAGGCATTGCAGCAAGCAAGGAAAGAAAATTCGAAGGTTTTAGTTCTGGTAGAAGTGAAATAAATGTCATTAACTCGGAATCTTATTTTCTGTAAGTGAACTACAGGTTTAAACTGTAGTGCAGAGAAAGGATACCGGGAGTTGATCGTTTGAAAAAGCTAAGATCCAAGGAAATATTGTCGGCAGAAAGAAGGAAAGAGGAACTTTATCTTTTGAGACACATGAGACCATACACATTTAATTGCGTTCAAATTAAAATAAATGTAAGTAAAATACTCATTTAAGTTTAAACATTGACAAAAATGTACTCAGAATTATTGAAAATTTATATTCAGTTGATTATTTATATTTTAATATAAGACGGAGTGATAATAGAAAGACGAAAGATAGTAGTAAAATAAATTTGTACTTTTACGGACAAAACCTAATAAACCTTACCGAACTACTCTTACCACACATTTAAGAAAAACAAGACACATTCAATTTTGACTCCATCAAAACAATACATCACGACAAAAACAATTTAAAATTAAATATTAAAGAAATAAAGAAATCATTTGGCCATCAAAGAATATAAGGAGGAAAAGTAAATAGCTTTTTTTTTTTTTTTTCGTTAATTGATATTTACAACTGCATTATAAAAAAAATACAACTAGTAAATGTGCACTCAGGAGTACAATAACATGAAATCTCTTGTTGAGAAACTACCCACTGATAGCACTCAAAAAAATTAAATACTAAATTTCCTTAAAAATATTTGAACTATAAAGTGTGTTGATCACAACACCGGATCTAAAATGTATCGAAGAAAACGGGTCATTATTTGTAAAGATACAGCTACATCAGTTTATTATGAATCACGTATCACGATTATGAATGACGTATTTTAATTCTACCAAGGAAATATTTTTCCCCATCTCAAAATCTCACAATACATTGTATTATTTGTTTCAATACTATTTTATCATATCTTCACTAACTACGCTAATTATTTTCATGAGCTTAATAGTTTACCAATACTCACGTTGATCTAATATAATGATCACAAAATCGTTTAGTTACTTACTTTATAACACGTCAAGAACGGAAGAAGAGGACGTGAACTTAGTTTCTGAATTTGATACAGGCTGAATTTGTAACTCATTTAATACATGGATTTACAATTACTCAAGAATTTATCAGTTAAATGAAAAAAAGAAATGATATTTTTGTTCTTTTTAATTTATACAATCAATAGTGAATCAATTAGACACGATCGCTTGAAATTGTCCATTTCGCAGTTTGAAATATTCAGAAACGGTAACGACTTGACTTCTATCCTAGCGGTATTTGAATAAGTTGTAAGAAAGTGGTTTGGCTGGATTGGAGACCGGGAGGGAAGCAAAAACTAATTCCATGCCGATTGAACGCACACGGCTCCGAGCTGAAGATTAATGCGGCTTTATTATGCGGCCAACGTTAGGGCACTGTTTTAGCACCAATCTCAGGGCTCCTCCTTGCCATTCAAATCACAGCTGCGCCCTCGGGACCTTTTTTACCCTTCAGCCCTTCGCTGATAATTAACAAGGGACGTCCCTGCAGGACTCCCGCTTCCACTCCTAGATTATATTGCCGTCGGACCTATCCTCTGATTGGAGATGAACTTTGCATTATCCTCTTCACAATAGCTTAGAAAAATTATAGCACAATGGTGATTTAGAAAATATTTATCATAGCCTCAAATTATCAGCTCGTCGTTATATGGAAATTGATTATAGCCATATGCAATGTCAGAATCTAAAATCTTCACACCTCCATCAGTGTGAAGTGCACACACCGCGCAGCCGGAAAAGGGTTTTTGAGAAAAAATTACTGTTGACTACGGATCTTTATTAGAAAATGTCATGGGTAATAAAGAAATCCTTCACAAGTGTTTGAAAACCATGGTTTCATGTTGATAAAAATACATAATTGAAATTTAATGCAAATGATAATCACTAAAAATAAACCAAATAAAAATTTCTCACCCGTGCTGGTATTAGTAGGAAGTAATAGTGATTCTTTTTAAATTAAAGAAAACTTCAAGCATCTTGTTTTGCTTTTTTAAATTTTATTTTGCTATTTAAATTTCATTTTGTTATTTTAACTTTGGGACTGGATGGGCAACTATGGTATAGCGGGTAAAACTCTGTTTGTGTAGCCACGTACTGCTGTGTTACCTTGAGGCAGTTTGAGAACCCTGGTTCACAATAATCGTGCAGTTAGGTTTTATTTATTTCAATTGTTTTGTTTTTTTTTCGAAATTCTTGTTCTCATAAAACTTTCGCTTGTGCCTCAAGAGTAGTATGCAGCAAGGTAGTAGTTCAGTACTTGCCTACCCAAAGTAAATTTTACCCGCAATAACAAAATTTCCCACCCAGTCCCAAAGTTAACCCACCTTACGGTAGTGCATTTATCAACTTTCATATGACTTAATACCGAGTACGGTAGAAAGAGGTTTAGACATACCACAAATTAACGATCATAAACCGTGGGAAAACGGATTTTTTGTTTGCGTCAAAATAAAACGGAAAAGTTTATGAAAAATGTAAGTATTGTGGTGCTTTAATTTTAAAGATGTTAAATTTCGGACTCGCTGACCAACAATGAGAGGGGCCCTCCAGACTTGCTGGAGGGAGGGGACCTCCAGACTTGCTGGAGGTAGGGGCCCACCAGACTTGCTGGAGGGTGTGACGTAGGATTGAACTCCCTACTCACATATCTTTAGTTCACCAAACACCACAAATAGTCATGGATCTCCCTAAGGTAAAACGCTCATTATCCGGAAGTAAACTAGTCCCCCGTTCGGGTCTCCGGGTGGGGACTGCTTTAGGGGATTCATGGCGCAAGTTCAAATATAGAGATTTAAATATTGGTACGTGGAACGTAAGGAGTTTAAACACAGCAGGGGGGCTAAAATCGGTCGCGAATGAGGTGAATGGGTACAATTTGGATGTCGTGGATCTGCAAGAGGTTCGCTGGCCAGGGGAGGGCTCGATGAGGGAAGGGAAGTACACTATTTGGTACGGAGGAAGCGGGAATCATTGTTTGGGTACCGGGTTTCTAA